GTCATTTCTCCATGCTGTCATCATCTCCAGAACATGATCTTGGTAGTCAGTCTGCACTAGAGAAGCCTTCTGTTAGCCAGTATACATTCATTAACACAATACCTAACTCATTGATACAGGAAGACAGAAAAAGCCATCACTACAGTAGACTCTAGGTGAGTGAAACTTATATTGAGAGCCACTGACATGGGAAAGACTGCAAATGCTCTGAGGAGAAGTATTTCGGTTGTACCACTACTATCTTTTAGGGCACCAGAGAATCCATCTAAGACATAATTCCTTAAAAACCTTGCTTCATTAGTTCTGGTACTCATAATTTCCTTATCTTCCTCATATTACATTTCCAACAAGGCCAAGCATATGCCATAGAGGGGGAGACTTACTAAAACATGCTGCAATTTCCATCTCACCCAAAGCACACAGCCACAGAGAGTACCAAGAGGGGAGCAAACGACCCATGAAATGCCCTCTCAGTTTAATGGGAATCCAAAAAATCTCCTTCCTGAGCCCAGCTCCACCCAGCCACCCGAGTCACCACTGAAATACTGCCTGGGAGACATGCTTAATTTGGCAAGCCATGCAGAAAGGTCAGAGACATACAGAGGTTTTGCAGCAGCTGTTGTATTTGCTGTATTTGGGGGGGGCTGAGAAAAAGATTTCCCTTCTCCTGAAAGATCATTCCAGCTCAGGTGTTTCGGTGTTAGATATATGTAAGCCTGAGTCTTTATAATTTCTATTTATACATTTTAGCATAACAAATATGTGTAGAGTGTATGCAGGTATAGCGATAGAGTGCTTTAAAACGAGATATAAAATCCTGCAGGTCTTCTCTAGCAGACAAAACAACTACCAGATGTAGCCATTATAACCACTGATTAAATGAATTTCTGTTCACTAAAATTATCCCTCTTCTAGGAAAGTAATTACACACTATTCACTTGAAATCATGCAAGGGAATTATTGACAGAAGCGTTGACCTAGACTAGTAAGCCTGTAAGCCTTAAGCTGAAGTGAAGCCTAAGTTTTAATTTTTCTTCATTGCTTTTCTGCTACTTGTACAACAATTCTCCTTAGGGGAATGATATCATCTGCATATTTGCAAATAGTTATATTTATTAAAATGACAAAATACAAATGAGAAACACTCAATACTGAAGTTGAAAAGCACACATTTTGCCGAGAATCAGGTGGGGGAAGAGGAGGGAAGTCACCTGCTGTGCATCTGCTACAGTACCCCAAAAAGGAGGGACTAAATATGTAAAAAAAATTGCTCACCTTCCATTTAAAAAATACTAATGGTAAACTCCTGAAGTCAGTTGGAATTAGCCCTGCAAAAAAACATTAGGAAAGGCTCTCAGGGGCCCCAAGTCAGTAACCCCTGAGCCTTGCTAGGTATTCACCAAGTGTGCTAGAAGTAGAAAGTGAGAGAAAAGCGACACCCTCAGCCTTCTTAAACTTGAAAAGTGAGGTCCCGCTCCCACAGGCCTCGGGCTCTTACAGAAAAGAAGTTGAATTGACTTACAGTTTAATTTTATTTACTGTAGCTTACAGTAAATAAAAGTCATTCTTCATCCTCTTCAAAGGCTTCCAGAAAAATAAAAAAAAAGTAAAAAAAAAAAAAGCTTTTGTTGTAATACACACCCTTAACTATACCAGGTCAAGGAGTTTTTGTTCAAGAGGAGAAAGACCTTTTCAATAAAGACTGAGTTATTTCTTCATATGCATCCTGCAGGTCCCCTGAATATTAACTTCACAGCAGTATTTATAGGGCAGGGGACTTTGCCTACTTCAGGAACAGCAGACAGCCTGGACCTGCAGCCCCAAAAAGCAGGTGCCTCAGTCTTTGCCTTCAGTCCTCTCCCCACCCAAGTTCCTCACAGCCTGAGCCCCTCTCCCCAGGCTACCATTTCCCCTCAACAAAAGGAGCAAAACCCAGAGAAACAGCCTGCTAAAATTCACACCAAAACAGCTCAGGCAGCTCATACCACCTACCTTTGATTGAGGCTGCTCTCCCTGCCCCCTCCCCACCCTGGCAGCACCCAGCCACCCCCTCATGCTGCTCCGCCATGTTCCTCAGCTCTCCCAAGGGACCACCTCAGCCCTCGTTCCCCTTCCCCAGCCACAGCTGTGAGGCTACCACAGCTGCAGTCAGCAGCTCACCTCATGTTAACCTTCATTTTGGATGGTGATTTCAAAGAACACTGTTTTCAGGAAAATTTTACCTCATGTCAAGCTTTGGGGCCTACAAAGGACAGCTTGCAATGGTGGCTGGCCAGCCTAACTGGAGAGCAAGCATTGCAGGGGCACACCTCTAATGCAGCCAGCACACGGGCTGGGATCTCAAAGGCACAGTGAGCCTCCCTCAGGTAATCATCTAGCTAGGAATATTTCTAACCAAAGAGCACTGCATATTTAAAAAAAAAAATCCTCTATGCATTGTTTTTCTTGGTTTCTCCTATAAGAGTGAAGCTACTGGAAAAATCTTCCTCCTCAGGTCAGTCTTTGTTACTCCTCTCAATGGCACGTTTCCTTGCAGCCAGTCTGTTTTCCCCTGCAGTTACTTTCAATAGCCTTAATGTTCCTCTGCCTCCAAATGTCAGGGAGTATTATTTCCACTCTTCCATGTAACATAGTTAGCATTACTGTTGCAGCCTCTGTATTGTTTGAGGTTTTATGGGCACTATCTCCATTGCCTATAGAGTTATTTGCTTGAGGCAAAAACAGGCAATCTGTTTTCCAGGGAGAAGGGTTGTCTTTTAGCATCCTTTTTCATATTGTCATAATTTGCCCACCTGGCAGTCATCAGTGTTGCCTGTGTTATGCTGCCTTCACTACTGACAGAGGAAGGCAAACTCACTCATACCACAAACTCGCTTGATCACTGTGACCATTTAATACATGATCTTGTCTTTTCCAGACAGCGCAGACGGCGCTTCTCGTGGTCGCCATGTTCCTGCTCTCCTGGCTGCCACACCACATCATCACGATGTGGGCAGAGTTTGGGCAGTTTCCCCTGAACAACTCTCCTTCACCTTCCGCATCATCTCTCACTGCTTAGCCTACGGGAACGCTTGCATCAACCCCATCATTTATGCTTTCCTCTCAGAAAACTTCCGCAAGGCCTGCCGGCAAGTCTTCCCCTGCAAGTTCTTCCAGCGGCCGGTTCCCACTGAGAAACTGGTCACAATACGCATGGAGAACTTCTCTACCATGCATTCGACCACTAACATGTAAATTGGGCTCACAAATACATTTCAGGAGAAAGAGCAGGGGAAAGGGTGCTGTTTGGGGAGAACAGGTATACAAGTGCATTTCAGGGAGCAGTGCAGCCTGCAAAAACATGGACTTTGTCAGATTACCGGAGTGGTAGGAGGCATTTTTCCATCTGGCTGTTAGGACACTTGACACAGCTTGTTCTAGGGTACCTTGCTAGGCACTGGGCTATGTGCAACAGAAGTATCTGAATGTCCTTGTAGTGCCCATAAGATAGAACTCGTATGCAGTTGTAGTTATGCCCATAAAGTCTGAAGTAAGAGTTACACAGAAGGTAGAATATGGACAGACAAGAAAAGAGCAGTTAATTACATGTGTAGACCATCATTAGGATGTGAACAATGAGTGCTGTGATGTTTAGAGAGCACTGAAAAGCAGTTTGGGAAAAGTCAAACTAAGAAGTCTTTGAATAGGTCTTTGTTTCTTAAACAAGTTTGACCATATGCAAGCTACATATATTTTTAGCTCGCTAGCTGTGATAAGGTCTCTAAATCTCCAAAGGCTTTGCTATAGTATTTACCTATTGGGTAGTAAAACCTTTCACATGACGTGTCAGTGATGTGGCTATCTGCATTTGGTGGCTCTGTATCAGCTTATATATCCCAGGGTTTGAAAGTCTGTGTGCTCCTGAATGTAATTACTGCTGTTAATCACTGGCTCCAGTAACTGCCTCTTTGTGAGCAACAGTAGGAAAGTGGTATTTCTCAATATATGCTTAAAAGAACTGTCGTTTTGTTTGAAAGTAATGTTTACAAAAGGCTTTACTGGTAAATATAGTGTTCTCTATCTACCCAAAGCTTTTTATTGGCCACTTTAGTATATAAATGCTGAAAGTTTGTAGGGTTCTTTGATAAACTGTTTTAATCAACAGTGCCCTAGCAACAATCAGTTTAGAGCATTTGTACCGTGTTCAAGGCTACTGTTTGTAAATATATAAAGTGCATATTACTTCAAAATTAAGAAGCATATGGCTGAAAGAACTTTATTATTTCACTGTGTTGTCTAATTTGATAATATTGTGTGCTGCAATCCAGACTGACCTGTTAAGGGACTCACTGTAACACGACTCCTGATTCATAGACTATGTTACTGAGTGTTTAAAGTGAGTTACAGAAGTTAAACTACAAATCACATCTGAAAACTTAACAAAAAAATCCAAATATAACCTTATAGAACATTTTCAACATCTTGTGTTATGGCCATCAAAACACATATAATTAACTTCTGTAACATGTGTAATACACCAATCACTCATTTTTAACATGTATTTTATACCTCAATGTCAAGTATGCCCACATTGCCTTTTATAGTCTGGATAATTTATCAGAAGTCAACCTTCCTCCCATTTTCCTTCCACATATTTTAACTGAAGAAAAAAAATACTCTCTCATCACCAATGCCACTTAGTTACTGATACAAATTAAGCAGATGCATTAATTATGAATGACCACTGCCACATAGTTTGACCATGGATCTTGTGTCAGAAGTTATTGTTTATGTGACATCATTTAACTGTGGTTAACTTTGGTTGCATTATTTAGCTGGACACTGTAGGTAAGAGCACAGTATTATAGTACACATCATCTGCAAGTTATGAAATTTTTGCCTGAAGAACTGATTTAGTCCTGTATAACAGCTATACTAGAAGACAAATACTTGAAGTCAGACATCTGAGATTCCAAGCAACAATTTTCCTCAGAAACTTAAAAGGGCAACTCTGTATGTTGAACTGGGAAGCACCGTCACCAGCTGCCTCAGGAAAGACACTCTATGAAGCAGGTAATAACTTGATATTTATGCTAATACAGTGAAGCGCTACAGCTTTGAAAAAGATCAGATTCAAATTGTATGACACTTGAGATGGAGTCAGCCTGAAATTGCTTAGGCAAAGAGGCAAGCAAATATTAGAATTTCTTACTTGGAGTTTCTTGAATACAATTTACCTCATTTAAATTAATCTGTGTGTCTACAGTTAAAGGAAGCTATTTCTCAGCAGTTCAGAGGACCTGATACAACATAAGATGCATATTAACAAACAGAAACAGGATCTTCTGTAAATTATACTACTACATTGTCCCGAGATTTCTGTTTAAGGATTTACCCTACTCCTATACATGAACAGTAAGCTTCTGCTTGTGGACACATGAATTGCCTGATTTGCAGTTAAATGAACTACAGATGAGAGGCAAGTAGTCCATGCAATGAATGGGTCCAAACTATAAAGGTTTCCAGTCTCTGAGTGGATCACTCTTCCACTGTATTTCTGTAAAGTTGAAAGCTTTCTATTATATTAAATAATTTTACTGCAGCTTGTAACTTCCCCTAAGAGCCCCTTAACTGTGCAATGTGAACAGAGTACATGTGTACAATTTCTAGGATAAGGTTATATAGCCTTATCCTTAAGTGGTTATCTGTGCAAGTTTTCTGTTTTAGTTTTTACTCTCAGTATACTAAGAATTAGAGTAGCTCCAGTGCCTTATCTCCTCTGAAACCAATGATTTAGATACTATGCTGTGATCTTTTCATTTAACAGCTTACTATTTCTACATACTGAGTTTTAGCACAGGCTAAAGTGGATAGCATAGGAAAAACAACCACTAGAAGAAAAGGCTGTGATAAATCACTGCAACAGAAATCAGAGCTAAAACGCTATTTTTGTGTGATTATTTACCATGGATACAAACTAGTAGCTAGATATGAAAGAACCTCAGCCTCAATTTAATCCTTTTGGTTTAAAGCAGAAAAGAACAATGGCACGATATTCAACAGAAATCTTGTACTCACTCTGTTACCTGTGACTCATTAGAACCTGTGAGTCAACACACTTCCTTCCTTTAACAGGAGACATTTTTTGGTGGGTTGGGGTTTTTTTTGTTTTTACAATCAGTTCAGAGACTGGACATGTGACTACAGCATGCAGAAAACACTTTTTTTTTATTTAATAGAACATGAAGCAGCAAGATGCCCTTTCTCAGTGAAAGGTAACCATAAAATGACAAATTAAGACCTTGGAAAAGCCTCAAGCTTTGTTGTGCCTTCTTGTTCCCACTGAGCTTTAGAAGTATCTGGTCTAGAATTCTCTGAATGAACTGCTACATCACAAGAAAATAAAATATAATTTGTCCTTTAGTCTTTCTACATGTATCTATAATTAGTCAAAGTTATATCCAAGTTAGGAAAAAATTTTCTTTTTTTGTCCTGCCACAGCAGTAATTTTTAAGTTTCAATAATGAATGTTTAGCTGCTGGTGGTGGGAAGCAATGAAATGCAACAGAGCCACACATCATACAGGCATACTTTCATTCTGATGTGAATTTAAGTTAAAGGTCTCAACAAAATTAAATAAAATCAACTGATGAGATCATTCTTCAGTCTTCTCCAAAGGCATTTTGTTACTCACTTACTAGCTTCCTTTTGGAAAGCTATGAGTTGTGATGCCTATGGAAATGACTATTGCAGCTTCCAGAACAACGCACAAAGTTAACCTGATCACCTGGTTTGAAACTCAGTTCTCTATTCTTTCAGTCTAACTTACACACAGCAGCTCATTTGCTCTGCCTTAATGACTTCAAGCTTAGTCCCTGCCAGGCCATTTATTACTGCTTGGCAACCTGAATCAACCTCCTTTAGGTGGAGGCTTATTAATAGAGGAGTCCATGCCTGGGAGACCTGTCCTTTTCCGGGCTGCAGTCTCTATTTTCCGCACCAGGTCCACATCCCACCGATGGGTGACAAAACTAACCACGGCTCCAGGTGCCTTGCTTCCAACCCGTCCAACTCGCCCCACGCGGTGCAGGTAGTCCTGCAGGGTGTCTGGGAAGTCATAGTTGACCACTAGCTGCACACTGCTGGTGTCCAGTCCCCGCGAGGCAAGGTCAGTGCAGACAAGGACAGACACGTCACCCTTCTGGAAGGAGGCAAAGATGCCAGCTCTAGCAGCTGCTGACATCTGTCCCTGCAACCTCAGGTGCTTGATTTTGTGGTCATCCAGGATATAGCCCAGCCAGTTGACAGTGCTGGCACTGTTGCAGAAGATGAGAACAGCCCCGCTGGACGCTGGGCGCTCCTTGAGTAGCTGCAGCAGTTCGAGCAGCTTGTCCCGGCCTTTGAGGCGGACAAACCTCTGCTGGACATGGGGTGGCAGGCGGTGCAGACTCTGGGTGGTGAGGGTGACAAACCGGCTCACGTCGGTGAACTTCCCCAGCGTCTGGCTCAGCCCCGCGGGGAAGGTGGCTCCAACCACCACCACCTGGGTCCTCGCCTCCCCTGGGCCGGCCGGCCCGGGAGCCCCAGCGGCCAGGGGCGCGTGCGCCAGGATCTCCTCCAGCGGCTCCACGAAGGAGTCGTCCATCAGGGCGTCCGCCTCGTC